CAAACTGCGAGATCATGACCTGAGCCGAAGTCGGACCCTCAACCCGCGGAGCCACCCAGGCACCCCTCCATTTGAATTTTAGGATCAGCTTGTGAATTTCTGCAACTAAGCCAGCTAGAATTTTGATGGGGCCAAGAGGTCAACTGATCAGCTAATATCCCACTAAGAAACACCTAGATTAATGAATGTATTATCTTTCTTTTTCAGATGACTGAAAGATGAGATATTAAGCATTAAATTTGGATTTTCTTGTTACCAAAATAAAATGAAAGACTTCAGCCACCCAAATAGTTAACTGATTGGATTTTTCTTTGTCTTCCAGTGTATATGAAAAGTGGAAAAATAAAAATATACTTTCCATTTGACATGTTTTATATGAATCTACTTTTACAACTGTACCCGGTCTTGGTATATTTTCCTCCTCAAGATTACTAGTTGTATATTTGATACATTAATATTAAATAAATATTCTGCAATCAGCTGCGATTTTTTGTTATAAACTTTTTACAATAGGAATTGTTCGAAAAAACAAACATGTAAAACAGTATTAAAATGTGAGACGGGGCATCTGGCTGGCTCAGTCGGTAGAGTGTGCAACTCTTGATCTCGCGGTTGTGAGTTTGAGCCCCATGTCATTAAAAATAAACTCTTAAGGGGCGCCTGGATGGCTCAGTTGGTTAAGCGCCTGACTTTGGCTCAGGTCATGATCTCACTGTTTGTGAGTTTGAGCCCCGTGTGGGGCTCTGTGCTGACAGCTTGGATCCTGCTTCTGATTCTGTCTTTCCCTCTCTCTCTGCCCCTCCCCCACTCGTGCTCTGTCTCTCTCTCTCTCCCAAAAATAAATAAACATTTAAAAAATTAAAAAAAAAAAGTCTTAAAGGGGCGCTTGGGTGGCTCAGTTGGTTAAGTGCCCTACTTCAGCTCAGGTCATGATCTCACTGTTTGTAAGTTCAAGCCCCACGTGGGGCTCTGTGCTGACAGCTTAGAGCCTGGAGCCTGCTTCGGATTCCGTGTCTCCCTCTCTCTCTGCCCCTCCCCACTCTCAAAAATAGATAAACATTAAAAAAAATTTTTTTAAATCTTAAAATGTGAGCAAAAGCTATTTTTTTCTTAGATGGTTCTTTTACAAATGTTTTGTATGTCATTTTATTATTTCCAATTTATTACACTGTGATTATAAAAAGGAGTCTGAATAAAATTGGTTATTTGGAAATTTGTCACAATTTGTTTTGTAGCCAGTTTTTGTAAATACTTCATGTTCTTGAAAAGAACATAAAACCTCTAATTGTTTGGATAGAATTAGTTAAGTATGCTTTTCAACTTTCTATATTCTCACTAATTTTTGTTTGTTTTACCAAATATGGAGAGCTATATAGAAATCTCCTGTTGTGATTCTTTTCAAATTTGTCCTCAGAATTCTGCCACTTTTTGCTTTATATTTTTGAGTCCATGCCATTAGGTACATTGTACTTTATTTTGTTCATAATGTGTGACTCTTTTTACCTAGAAATGCTTTTGGCATTAAAATCTGTTTCGTCTAAAGGTATTCCTGGTCCATTTTCTTTCAGTGAGTGTTTGCCAGTATATATTTTCTGCCCCCAATTCTTTACTTTGCGCTGTGTGTCGTGCTGTTAACTTTTAGGTACGTCTTTTGTAAACATCATGTGACAAGATGTCAAGTGTCATTTTGTCCTTGTCTGGGGATCGAGGCGAAGGCCCAGAGCCAAGGACAAAAGGCATAAGCTACCCCACCATTTACTTTTGTGTGGCCAGTGGGACAATCACTCACCTACGGAGCCTTGCTGGCAACCCCCAGCTCAGAGCCTACCCCCCGCCACACACACACATGAAAAGAGGCCTAGAGAGAAGGGAGTTCTCAGCCATCCTTCCCTCTCCCTGTGAGAGAGCTCAAAGTGTCTCTGTGGAGCC